TTATATATATAATGCAATAACAAAAATAGGGTATAGAAAGAATGTTAAAATGTGATAGTCAAATACGAAACTTTCAAGGGACTGTATAATGATTTCATATATTTTCTTTATTTATTATGGTCAGAACTTTAAAAAAAAGAAAACGTATTGCAAATATCTTCCTTATATTATAGAAAAATATGAAACCGTAATATTATGAAGTCTTCTATCCAGCCAGCAGAGGGAGCTGTAGGCTCTGTATTAAAAGCTTCCCTCTGTCTTCTAACTACCTACTACTGTAAAACATCTGTTATTGACAGAGCACAATAGTCAGAGCATTGAATCTTCCCTTACTGGACGTCTCTAAGGCTTTAATTAGACACAGCCAGTCCCATGGCAGGTAGATGCTTCTGTGCTTTCTCTTTAGCTAGCCCAGAGATCCTGGAGAATCCTTTCTCATGTTTATTTGTATAACAAAGCTTGTAAACAGCTTAAAGTAAATATACTGTATATATTATAAATATATATATTATGTCAAAAAAGTTGACTCAAAGCCATTATAGTTTCCCTTTATTATAAACATTACAATATCTGGAAATATGTGTTATGGTTTCCCTTGAAGTGCATGCTGGGAGTGAAAGCTGTTTATTTTCCAATTAATGCAGCTTGCACAGCATGTCATTTTCTCCGCAGCTCGCGGCATGAGAGCAGAAGAGGAATATGAAAAGACAAATGGTTTTTTTTTTTTTACATTGCCGATTCCTGGTTTCATGCATTCCTCAAAATACTCAGCGTGTCAATTATACTCATCTGCTGAGCTCAAATCGGCACGTTCCGACTGCTCCTCTAGACTCTCAGAGACTTATAAGGCACATTTCCTGCTGTTCTACAGAAAGAAACAGACTACCTCCACAATAAAGAATCCAGGAATCTGAGGACAATGTATACAGCGACAGCATTCAGGAACTGGCACATCTTTGTAAAAAGGTGCAAAAAATGTGTTCCTAAGCCGGTTGTGGCGCAGTTGGGCATACACGTAATAACAAACAATCGATCGTGGATTAGATTGGGGGTTTCTTAACTTTTTAAAGATTACAGACCCCCAATGGATGGCCCTATGTTCCCACACCCCCTTCACCAGACTGTCAAGATCAATATCATCAGCAGTCTTATTAGGTACCAGAATGGCTTTAAAGTGGACCATTGGGTAAAAGGGTTAAATACTTATTTATGTCTAGGGTACCAGTAAAAAGACTTTTACTAACCCTACCACTTGCTCTCCGGCAGCGGGCACTCAACCCTTCTCTTAAATGCTCCAATTTGTAGGCAGTCCCCCTCAGCATCCTTACATAGAAGATCTATTGGCCTTGCAGTGTACTGGATGATGTCAAATTGCTTGCGGCTACTGGAGCGCCATAAAAGAAGAGGCTGAGGAACCAGGTTTTATAGTACTGAGAGAGCCATCGGAGTGAGGGATTAGGTGCAGAAAAGTAATGTTGTACTGGTTCCCAAGGCATAAATTACCATTTAAAGAAGAACAGGAAAATGTTTAAACAAAAATTTACCCATGCAGTGGGGCTATCCCTGCACAGCAAGGGTAAGTGCTCATTTTGTCTAGGGCCTTGGTTCTCAACTGGTGGGTCGTGACCCAAAAGTGGGTCTCGGCCCCGTGTCACATGCCTTCCACTTTTCTAGGTGAGAGGCTCCTCCCCCTCCCCCTAGAGCAGTACTGACCAGTCTCACACTGAGTGAGCAGCCATTCAAAATATGCTGCCCATAGCAGTGTCGACGTGACGTGTTGTGGGCTGGGGGTATGGCCGTGAGGGAGCGTCATCCATACGTGCATTGCTTATAGCTCCCTCGCATGTCCTATAGAGGTGCCTGGACTGGAGTGACATCACATTCTGGCTCCTGGCACCTCTACAGGGCGCACATGGGAGCTGTACAAGTAATGCACATATGGATGGAGCTCCGTCAAAACACAGCAGCCCACACTGTTGTGCGTTCCATTGCAGAGCGACTTAGGTCGCGACTTAATGACCGAGGACAAATATGGGTCCTGAGGTTACACAGGTTGAGAACCACTAGTCTAGGGGATGCAAAGCTGTACTACTCTCCTGATCCTCGATCCCGTCGGCTCCCTCTGGGCAGCTAGGACTGGTTTGCAGTTTATTTTCCCCTGGGCTCCAGTGGTCTACTGACTTGCATTAGACGTGAGGATGCCAAGGCACATTCTATAGCTGGAGTTGAGGGAGCGAGTGATGGCTGCAGGGGGACCAAGGATCCGTTGAGTATATCTGCTTTATTTCAACCACCTAGAAAAAACAAGAACTTAACCCTTACACTGCAGGGGTAGCCCCACTGAAAGGCTAAGTTTTTGATTTTCTCCAAAGTTCTTCTTTAAGCTTTGCAGTGCACTGGGAGCCCCACTACAAGGGTGGATTTGTCTTTTTCCTGGAGTTTAGTTTTACAGCGTGTCAACAGCTGGGTTTCACTTTACATATAGATAACTAGGAACAGACAGCTAAAAGAAAGCCATAAGGATTTCATCATATTTACATGAAAATACAAATCACAAATACACAGGATAGCTGCAACTAGTAACATTTTTGCTGTTGCTTTGGTCAATCAAAACATGAAATTGAGGTCCAGTTACTCGCCTGTCATATCACACATCAAGTTGATTTCAGGTTCAATATTGCAGAGAATCTCTTCTCAATTTCGTTTTTTTAATGTTCAATGCCCCATCATTTGGTTTACATACCCCCAAGGGGTGTGGAAACCCGCGGTTAAGATCCCAAAAACATTTGTTCAACACTGGTCGGAGCTTATACAGGGCTAATGATTCTTTTTTTTACCCCCTGTGACAACACTAAGATCTGGATATTGGTCCCTTAGACATCCATCGCTGTATCATGGAAGGGAAAGGAGGGAGTTACAGGTTCCTCTTGCAATTATTTCTGCTAGCATCACGTAACATGCCCCCAGTCTCTCACTGTCTTCTGCAGCATGTCTCCACTCTCCAACCAAACCGGTAGAATGTCCACAGTCTCTGACCATCATTTCCTCTAGTATATCTGCAGTCTTTTCTAGCATTACATATACCGAAGTGTCACATTTATGGCCACCCATACCTCACAGGTGGGCAGAAGATACCACTGACTGCTGGACTGCTCTGATTGCTGTCTGAATAGGGAAGTATCTCCACTCAGGGACCACCAGTCCAACCTACATTAAAAGAGAACTATGGGGTAAGTGGTTTTCCCCATAGTTCTCTTAAGGGTCACAGGAGGACATATACTAGCGTACTCCCGTGACCCAAAGCTCAGTATATTACGAGCTACAGCTCGCGGTATACCTAGACCGCCACAGCCGGGACAGATCCCGACAATGCTGTCGACATCCACCCAGCTGCGTGAGTGACAGTTGGCTCTACCTATCTAGAGGCAGAGCCAGCTGTACCTGCCCCCTCCCCTGTCCGTTCCGCCAGTCAGCGCTGGAGGATCGCAGCAGGGAGGGGGGGGGGAATTCCTGCATGAAAGCCGTGACTGACGGTCACTGCTCTCTGCAGGGAGATGATCGAGAAGAGAGCGAGCGACGGTATGCGTTCGCTCACTTCCCGATCTATTGAAACGACGTGTGACAGTTTCATTGTCACACGTCGGCTTGAACTATGATAATGAGTGATTTTCACTCACCTCATAGTTCTCCTTTAATTGTACTGGTTCAAGGTGGAAACGCACCCCTGCTCCTCAGCCCAGTCCTCCCCTGGCTCCCATACCCATAGTAGTGGGAGAATGAAGGTAAGGCGAGTATAATGGGCAAAGCAGACAGACAACTGAATGAACCTCTTGCTTTGTCCTGCACAGGTAATGTTTATTGACATACGTTTGAGAAGAAAACTATTTTTGTCTACAAGAGAAAATTTATTGATTATAATAACGATTCAAATTATAAACTCAAGGGCCGTTTACCATTATGTACTTTTTTTCCCCCAGTAGTGCCATGTGTAAGATGCATTAAGAGACACTATGGGATCTAGTTATATTTTTTTTTTCACACAACTTTCACCCAGAACTCACACTTTTCCAAATGAATCCAATTATACAAATGTATGAATCCTGTGTGAAAATATTTATAAATAGACCCATATTTGTCTTTAAAGTCTAACTCAAAGGATGGTTTGTTTTTGTTTTTTAAATCCCTTCCCATTATACCAATGCAGGTTAGTGGGAAGACCAGCAACCCCCTAAATTTAACTTTTTCCGAAATTCCTGTCAACTTGATGGATATCATATTGAATAGAAAGTGAAGTCATATCCCCCAACAAGGACACAGAGAAAAGTAAAAACATGTCTTCTAGTAGAGTAAGGAGGGCTTAGACCCTCTGTTAAGATTTTATTGCTGCCTTTGTCCCTATCATGGAGATTTCCTCTCACGTCCTCTCATGGGTATGGGTGTCAGACAGAACCGGAAGAGAAGAGAAATCTCCTCTATGGGGACACAGACAACAATTAAAAACGACAGAGGTTCTAACCCTTACCCACTCAACCCAAAACTAGAAAAAAACTTTATGAAAGAGGCTCTTCCATAAAGCCAGTGCACTAAAACGTGCGAGTGCCGGTGCACATTGTGTAGGGGCACTGTTACAATACAGTAGTACAATACAATAACACCGATCTCTTTTTCTCCTTTTTAAAAAAAATTATTGATATGTCACAAAATGACAGTTCATCAAACCCTATACACCGCTGTGCAGTGATGAGTTGCGTTGCGTAAAAATGTATGCATGCTGCTTTTTTTACGCAGCACACCCCACCACACATGTATGGCATTAACAGGGCACAGAAAACAATCATTTTCTCTGTGCCTTTGGGTTGAGCCTACGTTGATCAATGCAGATCAACACAGCTCAACAGACATAGTGTGACCGAGCCGTAAGTCTCAAACCATGCGCAAGAACTCTAGATATAACCACAAACACGACACAGTTTAGAGTTAAGAATAATCCAGTGACTCACCATTGCTGCACCTCCTTCTCGGTAACTGCAAGACAAAACAAGGGAGAATTTAGACTATTAGACTGCACATCCGCTTATTCCACCCCAGAAAATCAGCCCTGGTAAAAGTTCTAACACACGAGACCGCACAGGGAGCGCCGTTCAACGGCACCTTTATTTTAAGATTATTCACCACATGAAACCACAATGAGTGAATCACGTTCCGTGCTACAGAACTATTATAGAAATATGGCTCATCTAATCCAAACTAATGTGAAAGAAAAAGGAAATTTCAAGCGGCAGTGCGGACCGTGAATGTAAACATTGAAAGACCAAATCTGATTTTTCTTTTTCCTAGTTGAATCAAAATTCCAGGCATTTTCATAGCACCCTTTAAAACGGCAACATTTCATTCAAGGATCTCTAAAAGAACACTCCACCTTTGTAAAAAAAATGTCATATATAAAATTGCTACACAAACTGTGTTGCAATTTGATTTTAAAGAAGCAGAACTCCAGTCAAATTAAAAAAACAAAAAAACCCTTGCAGTGGAATTATCTCCCTCTTTTTTTTCTAGGGGCTGGAATAAAGCAGATCTACTTACCTGATGTTAGCTTCCTCTGGGCTGCTAGACTGGTCCCTCAGACAAAAAGCACTTAACCCTTGAAGTGTGGAAGTAGCCCCACTGCAAAGTAAGTTTTTTATTTCTTAAAGCCATGGTTCTCAACTGGTGGGTCGTGACCCAAAAGTGGGTCGCGGCCCCATGTTCAGTGGGTTGCGTGTGCCTTCCACTGTGCTAGGTGAGCGGCTCCTCCTGTCAGTTCTCTCGCCAAGCAGCCAATCAAAATATGCTGCCTGGTGCCGAGTGTCTGCTTGAGGTGGGATGGGCTGGGGCTATGGCCATGAGTGAGCTCCGTACGTACGTACGTACGTACGTACAACTCCCTCGCGTGTCCTGTAGAGGTGCCTGGACCGGAGTGATGTCACATTCTGGTTCCTGGCACCTCTACAGCGCACGCAAGGGAGCTGTTCAAGCATTGCACATATGGATGGAGCTCAATCACAGCACAGCAGCCCACACTGGACCCCAGGCTGAGGATCAACTCCAGCTCTCATAAGGTATGGAGACTGGGTGGATCTTTTGAATGGCATCCCAAACGCACCTCCCACTTATTGTTCGATCTCTCGCACCGGAACACGCGGTACCGCAATGCTGTGTGTTCCATTGCAGTGCGACTTGATGACCAAGGACAAATGTGGGTCCCCGGGTTATACAGGTTGAGAACCACTGCCTTAAAGTGTAGTCCATCAATTTTTTTTTTTTTTTCTGATGGAGCTGGGTGATAATAGTAGTGGCAGCATTTTAAGACCAGGGCTCAGGAAGGAAAGGTACTGTAAGTATAGATTAACTTTAAAGAGCCCCATGTGAACCTGCAGTGAGTGATCTGACCACTTTATCCCTTCCCTATCGCAAACGAAAAAGAAAAAAATAGTTTTGGATATATATACACAATACCTGGATACAATACAATGGGGGAAATTTATCGTAGTAATTGCGAGTGTTTGAACTTGCACAGAATATATTTGCACCAGATTTATCAAGCTAGTGTAATGTTGTTGATAAATGAGGTTTAATAGACTCCAGGAAAGAAGACTTGTAACTTCAGGCAAAAAGCTTAACTGTCGCATCTTGAAGAAGTGGTCATGTGGACTTCTTAAGTGATGCTCCAGTTTCAGATAGAACAAGTGCAGATGAAAACACGTGCAAAAAAGGTGCAAAAAAACATGCAACTGAAAAAGGAGTGCAAGCTCTAAAGAAAACATGTGCAAAACACGTGCAGTTGGAAAAGTAGTGCAAGCGCATGTGAAAACAGGAGCGTACGTTGAAAGACAGATTTGCACATTTAAAAAAAATTATCTAAGAGGCTAAAACTGTCGCGATTGCTTTGATACATTCCCCCCAATGTCTTCAGTGGCAAATGGATTCTTTCTATAAAGCACTTGACTTCACTACAGTGTCAAGAAACATGTAAACAAAATGAAGTGAAGAGAAACTGCAGAAAGAAGACACCCTAGAATCACTTTAGCTCACCAGCTCCCTGCCAGCCAATTGTGAGCTTGCATCAGATATATTGGATCCTGGGATGCTTACTTTGATACACTGAAAACATGAGTGCTACGTGCACAGATGGAGCCCCCATGGTTGTGGATGCTGACAATCAAAACATACATAGCCATTAGGCAAAGCAAGAGGTAGGTGCCTCCCCAGATGTATATGTATATAGCCATGGCATGTACCAGATGTGACTCTGCTTACATTCTGCTGACACAACAAGGACAAGAAAGGGCAAATGTATTAAGAAGGTCATTACTAGCGCTCGTATAGAAAAACAGCTGCCGCCTTTTAGCCTTCTTCTGTAAAGGTGACTTTCAGTAAGTATCATCTTGGGGTAGATGAAGCATAAGTGCCTGGGAGCACTGCCAGGGGGAAGGAATAATTTAATGATGCCATATGCCTTTATGATTTCTCTGTTGGTTGGCGGATATTCTAGAACCCCGGGAAATAACATAAAAATATATGAAAGCATATCCCAAGGCAAACAGCTCAATGCACAACTGAAACATACAGTATATGTGAACTACTTTACCTGCCAAAAGATTTGGAAGTTAGTTTTGTGATGCAGACTCCCCCGCCAGTCCATCGAGGTCTTAGACCTCTACCGGAGAAGCAGCACATCTTGGTCATGGACACCCTCCCCACCAGGCAGAATAATCAATTCCACACTGCTCCCATCTTCCACTGGAGTTGACCCCTACATCCATTAATGTGACATTAAAGGCTATATTTTCTTCCCCCTCATGCTGCTGTTAGCACTTACCTTATTTGTTGCCTCTTGATACGATCATCTTCTTCATTCCTCTCGTTTCCAATAGTCCCTCCAGTGCTGGTGCCGGTCTCTGATCTACCGCAGGCTCCTCGTGTCCCACAGTCTGTTCAGTGTGTGCGCTCCCGGCTGCGTCCATTCACTTTTTCACTTTCATTCTCTCACCCCCCCTCTCTACTGCGCATGTGCACGCACACTTCCTCCTTCACAACCGTTCGAGAGCCAGGAGTTCTTCAGCCGGGAGCGAGCAGCATTGGAACAAGTAAGTAATTAAAGCAGAACTATGGGGTTAGGGCTTTTCCCCATAGTTCTCCTTAGGGTAACGGGAGGACACAAACTAGCGTCCTCCCGTCACCCTAAGCTCAGTATATCGCGAGCAACACTGTCTGGATCCGCCCAGCTGCGTGAGTGACAGCTGGCTCTGCCTATCTAGAGGCAGAGCCAGCTGTACCCGCCCCCTCCCCCGCCCAATCCGCCAGTCAGCGCTGGCGGATCGGAGCGGGGAGGGGGGAATCCAGCGCCTCCCCTGTCACGGCAGAGAGCTGTGACAGGATCGAGAAGTGAGCGAACGCCGGTATGTGTTCGCTCCCCTCCCTATCTACTGAGCCGATCTGTGACAGTCTCATTGTCACAGGTCGGCTAGAACTATGAGGTGAGTGAAAAGCACTCACCTCATAGTTCTCCTTTAAGAATGTACCTACTTTTTTATAATCATGGGGCATATACAGTATCTACTGCTTATATGCCAAAAAAAGAGAGACTTTAATTCTACTTTAAGCCAAAGCTTATTTTTTTTCTAAACCCCCGATATATTTTTAGGAATATGAAGGCCATTACATGGCCTTTATTATGCAAGATAAACATTTATTTCTGTTTCTTTGTTAAAGTTTCTGTTATTTTTCTCTTGTTTTTACATTATGTTTCTTCCTGTTTTTCTGCATTTTTTCCCCCATCTATTAAAATGAAATGAGAAAGAACAGCAGACAATGCCAAGTAATATCACAGGCTGCTAATATAAAAAGATAATACTGGTGAGTACACTGCTATAGACTAACATGTGCTGCTGGCACATTGTGTTTTTCTCCGCATTGGCAATTTCAGTGCTTCAGAACAGCACATAAAACTGCTGATGGCAATGCTTGAGTGTCTGGGATCAGCTCTGTACACACCTATTCCCCTATGTTATAAAGCAGCTGCACAGAACATACAAGACAAACATTAATAAACCTAGTCCCCGACCTGATGGCAACACGCAGCCCTCTGAAACTGCAGTCAATGTTTTCCCTACCTGGGTAAGTGAAAAGTATTCCCAAGTAAAGGGGAATACTTGGCTTAGTTTGCTCTTCTCATTGGAATATTAACAGTGATAACAGTCATTTTTAAAGAACCTATAGAGAGCACAAATGAGGAAGGAGCAATTTGTAAAGTCAAAGATCCCTAGCAGGCTCATAAAATAGATCTGCAGTCTCCAACCACTCCTGTAACAAGATTGTAGTGTCTGGACCTCCCTGTATAGCACACTCCCAGTCTCCTTCATCTGCAACATGCCTGCAGTCTCTAACCATCTCCTGTAGCATGCCCTCAGTCTTATACCCTCTTCACATGTCCACAGTCTCCTGTGGAACCATTTCCTGGAGCATAGCCACAGTCTCTGACCATCTCCTGAAGAATGGCCACAGTTTACCGGTTCCTGGAGCACTGGCGGAACTACCAGGGTCGCAACGGTCGCAATTGCGACCGGGCCCTGGCGTTCCGCCTGTTGGGGGGGGCCCGAAAGCTTCCTCATGCCCCCCCCTCCAGACAGCGCCGCTTCATCCTCCGCCGCTCTGCATGTATGAGCGGCTGTGCGGGATAGAGAGGCGCCTCTGTGTGTCACTTGTCTGCCTGGCGGGGCCACTACCGACAAGAGAAAAAAAAACAAACATACTTTTCATTTAATAGAAGAAGAAAAAAAAAAAAGGTATCAAAATCATGTTTTTATTGATGGAGCATGGCCATGGTCTTTAACCATCTCCTGTAGAATGCTCATTGTGTTTAAGCACTTCCTGTAGCATACCCAAGGTCTCTAACCATCACCTGCAGCATGCCTGATGCCTCTAACCACATGCTGTTGCATAGCTATAGTCTCTAACCACCCATTGTGTCCAGCCACCTCTTAGTA